AAAAAAAAAAAAAAAAAAAAAAAAAAATCATGATACCCAATCTGCACCCCAGACAGACATGAACAAATAAAAAATATCTTGAGGCTCAACTTCCTAGTGATTCCAGCATGCAACCAAGGTCACCAAGCACCCCTCAGGCTGATGTAGTGATCTCAGACCTTAGGTATCCCAGGCAACACTTGGCAGCTAAAACTTACAGCAGTGTGCTGTTAAAGGCTGCTTTAGAAATTAGCCTCAATATGTAAAAAGCTAAGAAGCTCAAAATAATGAATTCTTCTCCAGTGCTAGTTTCTTCTGCTTCTGTTCTTTTGTTGTTTTTAGAGAGATCTATAATACAGGATCATTTTCTTTTGGTTGTTTCACTGAATGAAATGGAAATGAACAATCTGGTTTTGATATATAAGGCCAAGGTGATAATAAGATATATTTTTATTTCTTATAATTTCTATTATCTGTTGTTCCAAATTATTTTATGGGCACATGGAAGGTGTTAGCAGTAGGTAAACTGGTTTGTGTTATGAAAGGACTCAGTAAGCTTTGCCAGTTTGTTTTGCTTGTTTTTTGGTTTTTTTTGAGATGGTCTCACTAAGGTCTCACTGGCCTTGAACTCACAGCAATCCTTCTGCTTCAGCCTCCTGAATGCTGGGATTGCAGGCGTGCACCACCATGCCCAGCTAGTTTTGCCATTTCCAGTGAACTGTCCTGGTTTACTTTGTCATAATCTGGGGATTAAAGAAGGGACACATTTTAGATTCATCAGCCTTAGATCTGATTTTGAATGAACTCAACCCTTCCGTAGCTATACACATATAGATGCACTAGAGGAAGGAGAGGAAGGGAAACTTGCCTTTGTCTCTAGGGAAAGTATTTATGTGCTCAGCTGTGTGATACCATGAGGTTTGGAAAGCTTTCGTGGAGGACAGAACACCGCACAGACACACCCAGCATGCACACTAGGCAACAGCAAGAACCCATCTGTGGTAAGGTCCATTTGGAAGTCGTTGTAGTTCAGATTAGAATCCGTGGCTCCTACTGCTGTTTTGCTTTTGTGCATGCGTGTGTGCACTGGAACAGTTCTAACCAGCATGGGCACTGCCCCTCGAAATGTCTGTGCGTGGCCATCCTGGGACACTGACTACTTCACTTCCAGGAGCCATTTTTACATCTCCTTCCCTTCCTCCTGGTTCTTTGCTTCTTGGCTTCCTGGTGTTTCTTACTGTGGTCTACTAGTGACACCTAGTGGTGCCTGTGGCATACGCAACCGCAGCGATTCCTCTGTGGTACCGGGTCGCTTTCAGTGTCCCCTCTCACCTTGGTTTTTAAGGCTCCTCCCCTTAGAAAAGC